TTAAGCCAAGCCCAAAGCCCGGCTCCCGCGGCGAGCTATTAATACCCCCCCAAGCAGCGCCAAGACCAACCACCTCCCAGCGCGGCTTTATTGCCCCAAACCGGCCCGATTCCGCCCAAAAAAGAGCCCGCGGGCCGCGCGCCCCCCGGGGCGGGGGTCCGGGCTAGGCCGGCTCCCAGTCCTCGTTGCACAGGTCGGTCTCGCAGCAGGCGTAGAGCGCCGAGAGGCGGGACGCGGCGTCGGCCGCGCGCCGCCGGCCGCAGTTGAGCGCCGATGTGCAGCCCTGCTGGTAGTAGAGCGTGGCCTTGCCTGGGGGGGCACGGCGGGGGGTCAACGGGGGAGATGCCGGCCCTTCCTGGTGGTCCAGGGGGGGTCTGGGGGTCAACAGCGCCCTTGGGACAACCCAATGGGTGAATGGGAGGGTGAATTCCGGCCCTTCCAGGTGTTCCAGGGGTCAACAATGCCCTTGGGACAACCCAACTGGTGCACTGGGGGGATCCAGGGGGTCAACAATGCCCTTGGACAACCCAACTGGTGGGTTGGAGGGCGAATCCCGGCCCTTCCCAGCGTTCTGGGAGGTCCGGGGGTCAACAATGCCCTTGGGACAACCCAACTGGAGGACTGGGGGGATCCAGGGGGTCAACAGCGCCCTTGGAAGAGCCCAACTGGTGAATTGGAGGGAGAATCCCGGCGCTTCCCGGCGTTCCTGGGGGGTCTGGGGGTCAACATTGACCTTGGGACAACCCAACTGGAGGACTGGGGGGATCCAGGGGGTCAACAGCGCCCTTGGAAGAGCCCAACTGGTGAATTGGAGGGCGAATCCCGGCGCTTCCCGGCGTTCCTGGGGGGTCTGGGGGTCAACATTGACCTTGGGACAACCCAACTGGTGGATTGGAGGGCGAATCCCGGCCCTTCCCAGCGTTCTGGGAGGTCCGGGGGGTCAACAATGCCCTTGGAAGAGCCCAACTGGTGAATTGGAGGGCGAATCCCAGCGCTTCCCGGCGTTCTGAAGGGGTCTGGGGGTCAACAACGCCCTTGGAACAACCCAACTGGAGGACTGGGGGGATCCAGGGGGTCAACAATGCCCTTGGGACAACCCAACTGGTGGATTGGAGGGCGAATCCCGGCTCTTTCCAGCATTCCAGAGGTTCCAGGTGCCCAAAAGTGCCCTTGGGACAACCCAACTGGTGGACTGGAGGGCGAATCCCTCCACTCAACGGAGCCCCAGGGTGGAGAACACCCTGTTTCCTTGGAATTAGGGAGAAGGGAGGCCGGGAGAGGGAGGCAGCGCCCCACGGGGAGCCCCATACGAACCCAGGGAGGTCTTGATGATGACGCACTTCTCCTTGGGCTCGCACGTGGTCACGTTGGCGCCCTGGAAGCAGCCCACGAAGGGCAGCTTGTACTTGCAGAACCTGCAGGAAAGGGCCTCCGCTGCGGGAGGAAGAGGAGGCGCCCTCAGCTCCGGCCTCCCTTCTACGGGGCTTGGAGGCCCCGCAAGGCTGGAGGCTCCGTGGAAGGTTTGGAGCCCTCTTGGGAACGCGTAGGGTGGTTCCTTCTCCCCGATCCGTAGGATGGAGATGATGCCCATGGAGCCAACCTCTTGGTAGGGCTTCCATATGTAGAGGCCGCCGACCTCCACCCCATGGAGACAAGTGGAAAGAAGCCCTGGGAAGCGACTCCGGAGCCGAGTTCTCCCTGTCGAGACCATCCCAAGAGCCCCTGGATCTACCCCGGGAACGGGATCCACCCCAGGAGCCCAGGGGAGGTCAAGAGGTGGCATCTCCTCCTTGGAGGCTCCAAACCGGTGGGGAGGAATGGGAAGAAAGGGCCGTTTCCAGGGAGTTCTGCCCTTCCCGGGCCTCCGGGAGGCTGCGCTTACCGAGGCCGACGCACAGAAGGGAGGCCACCACGGCCCAAAGGACCTTCATGGTGGCCGAGGGGGACAACCGGAGCGGCCCGACCTGCCAATGGAAGCGGCGCGTTCGTTAGTCCTCATCCGTTAATCCCCACTCCGAGTTTCCTCCGGGTTCTGCTGGGAGGAGGAAGGCGGCTGGGCAAAACCTCCCGGCACAATTTGAAGGAAAAAGCCAAAAAAAGGGGAATATATCGGGCAGGGCATCCCGGAAACAGCAGAAATCGAGCACAAGGGGGGGAACGCTAGAGTTCTGAAGCCAAAAATGCAGTAATTAACGCAAAAAAAAGATTAATTACGTCGCTTTCGTCCGCTGCGTCCGCCTTTGGCTTGGGAATAACTGGGATTCGGGCGCTCCGACTAAACCCCGATAGGATTCGGAAGCCTCGGGAAAGCCGCGGGGACAGCGGGTCTTCCTTATCCAGAGGCGGACAACTTTGGAGCGAAGTTAAAATGGGGGAAAAAAAGGAGGGAAAAGAGAGGAAGAGGAGCGAAAACGAAGGCGCCCAACGTGGGGCTCGAACCCACGACCCTGAGATTAAGAGTCTCATGCTCTACCGACTGAGCTAGCCGGGCTCCCATAGACGCCCATTCATTGGACGGTTCCTCGAGGGGTGCAAATTAGTGGGGGGATTCCCCCCCCCCAGGATAAATTTATCCCCCCCTTCAAGATAAAACCTTTTTTTGCTGCAAAAACGCCCCTAAAAACGGGCGGGTGGTGCAAGTCCTTGCAGGAGTGCGGTGCAGGGGGAAGAAAGCAAGACAAGGGCTTTGCAGCCCTAAAAAGGGCCGTTTTCCAAGGAAAAAGGGTAAAAGGGGGGGGGGAGCTTACCAGGCGCTGCTTCCCGCTCGCGAGGGGAGTGTGGAGGGGGGCGGGAGGCGCCGCTGCTTTTAAAGCCCCCCTGCTTTTATAGCCCCCCCCCCCCGGGGCCCGAGGGGCTGAACGACCTGCGGAGCCCGGGGCATTGTTCGGCGGGAACAATGACCCCGCACAGCTGGGCAAACATCTGGAGCGGGGCCGGGGGCAGCCCCCCCCCCCCAGGTGCTGCCGGCTTTTGCAAGGGGAAAACGGGAATAAACGGCGGAAACGCCAGGAATAACGCTGTTCCGAGCGGAGGATGGCAGCGGTAAATGATAAGGGAGAAGCAGGGGCTAGGAGTGATAACGGGAAGGCGAGGCGGGAGATAGGAGGCTGGAGCGGGAAGGGGGTCTTTTGGGGGTGTGTTTTGCATTTTCTGGGGGGGAATGAAATAAAGGGGGGGAGGATAAAATAAAGGGGGGGAGGATAAAATAAAGGGGGGGAGGATAAAATAAAGGGGGGGAGGATAAAATAAAGGGGGAAAATAACATTTACGCCCAACGTGGGGCTCGAACCCACGACCCTGAGATTAAGAGTCTCATGCTCTACCGACTGAGCTAGCCGGGCTCCTTGATAGAATTCCATAGGGAAGCCCTGGGGCTACGATCCTAGGGGAATAAAAGCGGGATTTGGCGCCGGGGAGGGGAATGGGGGGCGCTGCGACCTGGCACGACTCGTTGCAGCTGCTCCGGGAGCGTTTCCAGGTCCGGCCTTGGGAATAACGCAATGTTCCGCGTTGCAAGAGCGCGACGACAACGAAAACGAGAGCAATAATAATAATAATAATAATAATAATAATAATAATAATAATAATAATAACAACAACAACAACAACAATAAAACGGGAAAGTTTTAGCGGAAAAAAAACACCTTCCCTGACCGGGAATCGAACCCGGGCCGCGGCGGTGAGAGCGCCGAATCCTAACCACTAGACCACCAGGGAGAGCTGGAAGGCACCTTCTCTGGAGGTTTTCCCAAATTTATCACTCCCTCCACAAAGAGCTCCGCTCTGCCATGCAGACTGGCGGGATTTCGAGGTCATTGCCCAATTTCGCGGCTTCTCTTCCAATTTATAGCGGGATGACGAGCCAAATTTTAAGCCCTGCCTGGGTCTGCGGGGCTTGAACCAGGTTTAGGGCCAACGGCTGGGCTTAAAGAGGGCCCTGGAGCATGGGCAGAAGGGTGACGTGGTCCCAGATGGGGCTATTTGGGGCAATTAACCCCTCTCAGCACCATGGGCAACCCTTAAAACCCGCTCTTGGCCAGAGACGGCCCCCGGGCCAAGGTTGGAGGCATCTCCGGAGCGCTCTGCTCTTGTGCTGGGTGCTTCTCTCAGTGGGTCTTGAGCGTTTCCAAGGATGGACATGCCCCCCAGGTTTCCCAGTCCAACATCTGCATGGTCCACCATCCATATGGGTGGATATAGGGACCATATGGTGGTAAGATTGAGAAGGCAGTCACCCAACGGTGTCTACTTATGGAAAGAGCCCCCAAAAATCCTTGTTTCTGCCTGGTTTCGAACCAGGGACCTTTCGCGTGTTAGGCGAATGTGATAACCACTACACTACAGAAACCCACAGCTATTCTCAAAAAGTAGGGATTTATTTGGTGGGAAAGAGGGCTCTCAGACTGGGATAGAAGGGGAAAAAGTGACCCAAATTCTTATTTCCCATTGGCCAGAGATGGTGAAAAGCATAAGGTTGTTTCTGCCCGGTTTCGAACCGGGGACCTTTCGCGTGTGAGGCGAACGTGATAACCACTACACTACAGAAACTCAGTATTTGAGCCGTGTATGGTGCCTGCAAGGAGCAGAATCTCCAGGGCTTTTATTCCAAGATCTCTGGGATCTTTGCTCCAAGATCTCCAGGGCTTTTGCTCCCAGTTTTCTCAGACATTTCCTCCAAGATCTCCAGAGTGGTTGCTCCAAGGTCTCTAGGGTGTTTGCTCCAAGATCTCCAGAGCTTTTTCTCCAAGATCTCCAAGATTTTTACTCCAAGGTCTCCAGGGTGCTTGCTCCAAGATCTCCGGGCTACTTCCTCCAAGGTCTCCGGGGGGTCTACTCCAAGATCTCCAGGGTTTTTGCTCCGAGATCTCCAGGGCTTTTGCTCCAAGGTCTCTGGAAAGTTTGCTCCAAGATCTCCAGGGCTTTTGCTCCAAGATTTCCAGGGTTTTTCCTCCAGGGTCTCCAGGGCATTTGCTCCACAATCTTCAGGGTTTTTGTCCCAAGGTCTCCATGGATTTTCTTTCATTCTCCTGTGGAGCAGGTGCAAAAACTCTCCTGTGCTGAGTTTCTGTAGTGTAGTGGTTATCACGTTCGCCTCACACGCGAAAGGTCCCCGGTTCGAAACCGGGCAGAAACAAGTGGCCTTTTTTCCATCCTCATCGTGGAAAATTAAAATCTTTTCCTTTATCATTACGGTGCCAAAACGGGAAGCGTTTTGCTCTACAGTAAGGGAACGGAGACAGGGCTTTTCGCCTTGGAATATCATCCCCACTGCTCTGCATTTGAAATGCAAGTTTGCTAGGGGAAGAGGAGAGGGAAAAGTTGGGAAATAATTTAAAAGAATGGGGGAAAAAATAAGGAAGAAAAGAATTAACTCGTTGTTTCTGCCCGGTTTCGAACCGGGGACCTTTCGCGTGTGAGGCGAACGTGATAACCACTACACTACAGAAACTCCACGTGGGTAATTTTCGGGTTCCAAATCCACCCAAACTTCCAAATCCCACCTGGCTCCAATGGGGAGCAATGGGATTTTTTTGGGGGGATGGATGCAGTGTCCCTGAACCTCCAGGATGGGCCAGTATCTCCATGCAGGGAAGTCCTTCGGGATCTCCCCGCTGCCCAGAGGAAGAAAATATTATTATCTTGAAAAAAAAATCACCTTGTTTTCCTAGAAAAAGTATTCCCTGACCGGGAATCGAACCCGGGCCACGGCGGTGAAAGCGCCGGATCCTGACCACTAGACCACCAGGGAGAATTTGGGCAAAAATTCCTATTTTTGTCTGCTTGCTGAGAAGAAAAAAGAAAAAAGCGTTGCTTTCTGCAAAGAATTAGGGGTAAATAATTCTAGAAATAGGCGGGTGCCGCTAATAAAAGTAGAGATTTTTTATTTTCTGCCCTGAAAAGCGGCGCATTTTCCTCTCTCCGTGGGATTTGTTCTGGAATCCAGGAGGACGAGGCTGGAGCTGCCCCAGCTCTTCCATCTGTGCCTTGCAGGAAAAGCCCCAAACTGGGCAAAAATTAAAGATGAGATTGCCAGGAATTGCCCCAAAATGCCCTCCCTGGTGGTCTAGTGGCTAGGATTCGGCGCTTTCACCGCCACGGCCCGGGTTCGATTCCCGGTCAGGGAAAAAAAATGCAGTTTTTCACCAAAATTTAGCGAAATTTTACCCCATAATAGTGATATTCACTTACTCCTGCTGGCAAGTAGACCGGTTCTGCCAAAAAGTGCTCACTGGAAATGAGAAATTCCCAGTTACTGCTACGAAAAAAGATATTTTCCCAGAGTTGTTTTTTTTTTGGTTATTTCCAGTTACTACCTGTATGATTGTAGTTTTGCAAATTTATCTCCAAAAACCGCAAAAACTGTGTTTTTTGAGGCTTGTTTCTGCCCGGTTTCGAACCGGGGACCTTTCGCGTGTGAGGCGAACGTGATAACCACTACACTACAGAAACCACCCGTGGAATCCCTGCCCCCTCCTTGGGCACTCACGCTTATTCCATAGTTTAAAATCACCCGGGTAACAAAAAAACACGGTGGGAAAAATCCGGGGCCTTTCTCCACTTTCTGCCTGTTTTCAGCAGGGAAAATCTCCGAAGCCGAAGGAAAAGACTGCAGCGAATGCAGAGCATAATTCCGCCCCATAGTTCCCCATTCCCTGATTTTATTCCCGTAGGAAAAGGGAGGAAACGAGAACAAAACCGGAGCCCGGCTAGCTCAGTCGGTAGAGCATGAGACTCTTAATCTCAGGGTCGTGGGTTCGAGCCCCACGTTGGGCGAGTGGATGTTTTTCTCCCTTTCCCTTTATGTTCCCATGAAACAGATGGAGGAAATTCCCTCCTTTCCCGCTCCCAAATTTCCATTTGAACCTCTGCAACGGCCACTAGGAAAAGGGCAATGAAATAATCACCCCCGAAACATCATTTTGGGGGATATTTTCCCTTTTCTGGGTATTTTGGCCCCGTGGTCAGGATGGCCGAGTGGTCTAAGGCGCCAGACTCAAGGATCTGCTCTTCCCTCTCCTGGGATTTCTGGTCTCCGAATGGAGGCGTGGGTTCAAATCCCACTCCTGACA